TTTCTGGAGCTCTTGCAACTCACAGGTGTGACTCTACCACTTGTCTCTAATCTTATAGGGTAGCTTCTTTATTATGTTCAACATGTTAGAAGGCATGTCCAAATTATGGAGATACTGCACATCCTCCATCACATTACAAAATCCCCAGAGAAACAGGTTGTAGTTCTGTAGCATCTTTATGTCCTCAGTTTTGATGGGGGACCACGACAGGACTTTATTTTTTGCTCATCATCAAACTGTTGCTTTAATAAATTCTTAGTCTTTGCATATATGTTCTGGCTTTACATACTGGCAGCTCATGACCAGATCTTTGGCATTGCCTCTGGTATGCAGCTCCAGGAAGTACAAACTATCAGAATCATTTGAGGTATTCATTTCATCTCCTTTTTCGAATGCCTTTATAAATGTGTGGTATTTCAGAGGATTGCCTTCGAATATAGAGATCTCTCTCTTTGGCAAAGCTGTGAGACATTGTTGTTGTATTAGTAAAGCTTTTACAGCTTTTTCATAAGAACATCATTTTTATTGTCCACATCCAGTGTATTTGTGTCAGAGTCTGAAGTGAGTTGTCTGTGCTGTGTAATAACTGGCTCTGCATCATACAGTGAACATTGGGTGACTTTGTTGTTTATTGTAATTATAGCATTTGTCATACCAATCTGTTTTAATGAAGGAATTGTATCTTTGTTTAATGTTGTAATTTGTTATTTGAAACCCCAGCAATAGTAGTTTATATTCTATTAATAGTGTACTGAAAAAATATAATTTGCTGGGATAAATAAATAACATTTTGTATTAGGGGCTCACCAAGAAAGGGTGTATCCAGGGTGCAGATATTTGGTGCTGCGCCTCTGTGCTTGCCCTGCTGTAAAAACCTGTAGAACAATGTTAAATTGATGCCACTATTTTTACCATCCAACTGCCTCAATTCATTACACATGGCAGACCGCATTATGCACCCAACTTAGAAATGAATTAGGAATGCCATCGATTGTGCGGCTGCAAATTAATCTTGTAAATAGCCAATGCTTGCTTAAATGCTTCGTCAGTGGTTTCTTTGCCCATACAATAGGTTGCTGATGATGTCATTAGGGGACCTGTACAGCTCTATGGGAAATTTACAGTTTTTAGATATTTCTTCTTAAACTTATGATCCACAAAAGTTGAACTTTATCATTAGTTATTAAAAATTTGGTCCACAAATATGAATCATACTAATCTTATGGCACAAAGTCATTTCAGTTGACATAAATCATGTCTTTGAGATTGAATAATGGCACCACATTCTGAAGTTACTGTGAAAATAACCATTTTAACTTTATTTATTCTGCTAACAAATGAAATACATTAAACTTTGTGATAGTTTTTGTTTCATGTGAATAGGCCCAGTTACAGAGATACTGACCATAAACCAGGTCAACAAATCTGCAATCTGACCAGTACATATATATATATTGTATAGGGGTCAAAGTAAGACTGCCATGTAGTGTTTGCATCTAATTACAAAGTGTTTTATTGTCGGAAAATAATGAAATGCACAGGAGAAATTCAATTCAGTTCTGTTGCTATGGATCCAACCTGGACAACTGAGGGATTACACAAACATTTACAGTGATGTCTGTATTGTATTTGTTTTTTTCTGCTTGTTTGTGTGTTAGACTCATCTTTTGTTATGTCTTGTTATGTTCATGTTTTGTTATTCATTTGCTGATCCAAATTATAAATAAAATAAAAATCACTCAATACATAAAATTACTAGTTCTGTTTTTCCTATTTTTAGGACAGTAAAAATCAACTACAGCACCTTTAAACCACAAGTTCCAGTATATAATTCTGGCATTCTGTCCACACAACCATAAGGATTGTACTTGAGCACAGTACCACAGCTACGACCACCAGCATTCTGTTTCTCCACGGAGGTTCGGGGGTTGAAGAAAAGCCAAGCAGAAGTCTGTGTTCAGGTCATTGCTTCCATCCTCACTGCCTGCCCTTTAGTGAACACTTATTACGTTGGTGTCCTTTCGCCAGATAGGGAGGTTTTGGAGGGCTGTGTGCTTTCTGCTACATGTCAAGTAAATAACAGCAAATACAAGTTTAGAGGTTACCTTGAACTTCTGAGTTTAGGGTGAGGCAGATTTTGGACACCGTATTGATTAATGAATGAATGTGCAATGAAAAAAAGTCAGTGTTAATTACTTTAGTAAGTCTAGAAGAAAAGTCTAGAAAAAAACACTAATAATATAAAACCTGCCTGGCCTGAAATCTACAACCAGACCTTGCAACATCACCTTGGTGGAGACTTTGGGTATGTAGATCAGTGTACATATCCTTCCCTTGTCTAGATGGGTTTCTCAATCAGCCCAAAGCATGGAAGAATTATAATGCTCCGTGTTATTTATTAGATCTTGAGATGGATTCCTGAGTGCTGTTATACAGTCACTTTCTACTGCATGTCAAGTAAATAAAAGCAAATACAAGTTTGGAGGCAGATTTTGAACATTGTATAGATGTTCAATGTGTATATATCTGCAATGAAAAAAGTCAATTTCTTCAGCTAATACATTTTGTTATAGTTTGCGGCCTAACAAAATAAAAATAATTGGAAGTTAACCATTAAGACCAAAATAAAAGACAAAGAAAAGTTCACACGTTATATCCTTTTGTTTAGAATATACACTAATACCATGGTCCATAGACTAACTTAACTGAAAGCATTTCTTCATTTATCTAGTGGTTTTTATGGTTTTGTGAATCTGATTCGCTCAAAGTTGGGATGTTAACTCAAGTGTAGTGTGCTAAAAATAAGTCTCAGTCATTTCAGGTCTCAAGCAGGTCTCAAACCCTAAAGAAAAGAACTTCTTACTTTTCAGTCCAGTGGAGTAGTGGAGTAAAAAGAACATACTATAGATGCTATCAAGTGTAGTGAAATAAAACTAAAATGTATCCACTGGAAAATGTACTTATGTAAAGTACAGATACCTAAAAATTGTACTCAAGTATTGTGCTTTAACTTTTGTACTTTGTTACTTTTCATCACTGCTGCCCTGTGCTCACTGCTCCGGGATACTTGGGGAGCACTGGTTGAAGACGGTCCATTTCTCTAAAGGAACAATGGTTTACAAATATCTAAATCGCAGGTTAATAGCCAAACCAAATATTGGAGACCAGTGCAGTTTTGTTTTAGTCAGTTATTTAGTGATAACACAATGCAAGTAAACCCCACAAGTGTCAATGCTGGACTATAGTTCACCAATTAACAATATTCTTGGTAAAGTGGCACCACAAAAATAAATTGCTCTTACAACTCTTCCTGCTCGAAAATACTTAAGTTGACCCCCTGTGACCAGAGCTTACCGGATACCTTTGGCCCTTTTTGCTATTTCCGTCAGCTTACACTTCCGTGCCTCAGTGAATCAGCGAAGGCCCAGCTTTGTGCGCGCGCCTTTGCTCTATCTACGCGCTCATGCCTTCAACTAAACTCAGTACAGCTTCCCTTTGAGGAGCGAGGACTCTTTAATAATGCAGGTGGTTAAGTAAGCTTGTCGGGACGAATTGTAAAGAAAAAAAGCTTGCTTCGCTGGGCTGTAGCCTGTTAGTGGAGGGCAATACGCGTGACTACCAACATCTCCTGAGTCCGGCGCACACATAACGAATCGGCAGGATAGGAAGGTGGCATGGGACCTGAGCGCGCAACTGAGGGATTGTGCGTAAAACCGTGACGCATAAATGGATTTCACCCAGGTATCAGCTCCCCCCTGCCTATTGTATGCGCTCGCTGGTACATTATAGATCCAAACAACATTAACCACGTCACACCTTTTATTTTTATGCATTTGTGTCTTGGTAGAGCTAATAAAAGTGGAATTTATTGACTTCATCTATCGCCTTAAATTTGTGAAAGCAGCCGGAAGTGGAGTGACTTATTAGACATCTTATAGCATCATCTTCTGACAAAGGAGAGTACAAATGAGTGTCCCTCGGAGCAGGGGATGTGAGTAGAATTTGATGGGGTTCAGTTGGGGGTGGGAGACAGCGCTGAGAGGGGCCTATACAATTTTAAGGATGATGCAAGACTGCCCCCTGCTGCTGTATAATGAAACAACTGTGGAGAGATTTAAAGGGGTTGAAACACATTAGGGCGTACTGTTGATGTTTAAACAAAGGTGAAAGTAAATAGTAGACTATATTCAAATATATCAAGTCCAATCACTTAAAAAATACCCCAAAATAGTAATGATTGACAATATACTGTACTACTATAGCTAGTATAGTAGTCTATAGTTTATAGTTATAACCTATAGTAAGTTATGAGGTACTTTGAATAAGAGATACAGCTTAAGAAGTGCTCAAGACAAAAAGGTTGTGAATTGCTTGTTTATAGAGTCAGAGTGGTGCAGAGCATTAGCACTGGCCTACCAACCAGAGTCAGTTCAGTTTGAATCTTGCCAAAAGCACAAACTATTATTACAAAATATAAAAGTAAGTCTTCATAGAGTCATTTGACCCTGCCATTTGCCATTTTACAATATGATATCACATTTTTGATACATCATAGTGATACAGCTAACAGCTAAAAAGTTATGTCGTATTACTGTTGTTGCAAACCATCAAATGAAATGTTTTCAGTGCCACTATGCTGGTTGACCAAGTCCAATTTCTAGCAGGGATTTTCCTGGTCCTTTTATTGTCCTTCTTATTGTCTGTGATGTATGAGTGAAATGTCTGGTAACACACTGCTGCACAATAATTTCCCCAAGGGGCCATATAAAGCTGTCTGTTACAAGCTAGGTTCAGTTCAGGTCAATTCAGAGTCTCACCTTCAATCTTTAAATTCTTTTTCAATTATTATTATTATTATTATTATTATTATTATACTTTGTCTAAGCTTATAGATCATACTCCCAGTGAAGATCAATATTTCACATCAAGAACAAGAGACAAAAACTCAAACCAACCCGTTTCTAGGTAGATAAATAATATTAGAAGGCACAACATTTTTATATCGTCATTCTTTTTAATTCTGTACATTGCTGGTTTACTGTAGTTTACATTGACATGATCATTACATGATCCAGGCAGCCCTTAATAGACAGTATCATACAAAATAGGCCTCATTCTTGATAATCTGTCACACTGCACTAAATGCCTAAAAACAGACTGAGAGCCCTTAGTACAAATATCATATAAATACAACTATTAGCGTCTGTTGTTGATATTCACAATAATGTCAAAATCCGATTGTCTTGTTATTATTAAGGCCTGTCTGTACAGTATTCTAAATTAAATTCTAAGTTGTTTTTATTATTAATATAAAAATAATTATACAACTAAAAATAATTATAAAACTATACATTATAACTAAACAGAGAAAATACTGATTATGAAATGACAAATAAAACAAAGTAAACAAAAGGTATACAGACTTATGTGGTAGTAACAGTAACTTAGTATTATTGCTTTGGTGTGCGTGGCAGCATATTGTGCCATTTTTGTCTGTCCATATAAAGTGTGCAAGAAGAATGGAAGAGGTCAAGAATGGGCTTACTGAAGCCATTTAAAACACAGTGATGCTTGCCAATTGGTTGTCCCCTCTCCCAGCCATTTCTGTGATTGGTTGTTCCCTCTCTAGGTGTGATTGGCGCAGTGGTCAGAAGGCAAAGATGTCGTCTCCAAATGGACTGGAGCAATTGTTGTTGTGGTTGGCGTTAGTGCTCTGGTCCCAGTCGGGTTGTGTAAGCCAGTCCTGAGGCATCACCCCAACGTCCAGGACCTGGGGGTTACTACGGGACACTGCCAGGCTGTGGACAAGAAACAAAATGTATACTTTATTAAATTTTAACTGTACAGAGAGATTATTGTACTATTGTTTCCAAAGTGCAAAGTACAAATTAGGGCTACACAATGTATCGAAACTGAATCTAAATCATAATTTCAGCTGGTGAAATGATCAAAGGTGGCAATTATTTAGAGAATAGAATAAAACTGTCTTTTTATAGAAATATCTTGTTTTACTACAAACATGTTCTGAAATGAATGTGATTCTTAGTTTATCTGTTCTGTTTATATGTTCAATAATTGTGCAGCCCTTGAACAGAAACAACCAAAAAATATGGCACATAGTTGACAACAACTTGGTAAGTTGTTTTAGTTGCAGATCTTTTATAGAAAACATTTAAAATCATGTTGTTATCAATGTTGTAATTAACATACTTGCAACAGATAATTGGTTAACAAAGTTTTCAGTTTGTGATTAAAGTAGAAAGTAACAATTTTGTAATCAGTTACAATTGAATATAAGTTTGATGGCAACTTCAACAGACAAAACTAGTATATGACAATATCTCAACTTGAAAAGAAAATGCTTAAACTGAGCTTAATATAAAACCATGCACTCAAATGGCACAAAAGGTCATGAACTACTTTTGACTTCCTTCATATTTCTCTCAATCCTTTATGGCATGTCAGTTTAGGCACTATATCTCGGTTCTGGATCTACAGTGGCATTTTCAGTGTTTAGCCACTAATAACATGGCTTCATCTGCATAAAACAGGTTTTAATCCTGTTTGATGGTTGGAGGATTACCGGGGCGTCTAGAACACTGAAAATGAACAAAGTATAAGGTGATTTGTAATAAAGTTAGCCAGTTATTTGACATACTGCCCTACTTATACACTGTTGGACAAAGGTCTCTGCGAGAAAAGGAATGTTATTTCCACTGCTCTGGAGTGTTCACAAAAGACAAATAGACATGGGGGACAGTTATCAGGGAAGAAGATAAAAGCAATTTTTGGTGATGATTAAATGGGATGGGACATGGCATTTTTCACCCTGACTGAAATTCAATACGCTGAATAAGCTTTCTTTTTCAGATCCCAGTTGGCAATAATTGTTTCTGGGCAAACCAATACAAAATACAGAAAGCTATTTCACACCATTGAACCCAGCTACGAGTAACATGGGTGACCTGTACAACACTATTATTGGGTTTGGCGGGGATGGAATGAGCTGGATTAAGGTTAGTAATTAGGACTACCACACTAGGGCTAGGAACAGTAGCACTCAGTTTTACCTGCACATGAACCATAGCTATCCAGAGCATGGCTAGGGACAAAACACATAATATATAGGGCAGTTTAAAGCTCACAAAGCAGCCATTTTGTTGATTTCAGCAACATTGTTTTCATCCATCACACACAAGATTGCAAATCTGCAGTTACAAAATCAACAAGGTCAAAGGAAGTTTTGCTAAAGCGAATATGTGGTGAAAGAATCACTGTAAATCATCAGGGAAATTTATATATGAAGTTGTTACAAATCTCTTACCTGGAGAAAGCTTCATCCAAACCATCCTCAATCTCCTGCAAGAAATGAAATGTCATGTTAATCAAAAAAGGTCAACATCATTGTTTTAACTGATACATTGATTTCATAGGACCCATTCTTGAGCACTAACAATGAATGACAACAAAGATGTTTCTGTGATTTTTCTCATTTAGGATTGTAGTCTTTGCTGAGTTTTTTAGTTTTCTAAAATACTAACTTTAACCACAAGGGGTCAGAAAAGAAAGGATTTAGGAATTACCCTTTAACTAGTATTCAGACTTATGTCAATTTCCCTCATCTATTAAAATTGTGTTGACAAATATTTGCAATTGAAAAAGGGATAAGACTGAAGAAGGAAATAACTTTTAGGTAATGGCCATCTTCCTTATATTGTTAAAAGTAAACACATAATAGACTTGGTACATGTACACTTAAATATTCATTCATTGTATTGTATTTAAAAAAAAAGAGATGACAGTCCATTATTGATGCTAAAGAAATCATAAAACAACTAATAAAAATACTATGCATACTCAGACCAGCTTCTTAAAAAAAAATAAAAATCTCTGCACTGGAATCAACTGGCAGATTCTCCTTTTACTCATATCTCAAGTATCAGTGTCAACATCTGTACTGAAATAGCTTCATTGGACCGCACAGACCACACGTACCCACTCCGGGTTGTTATTGCTCTCCTGAGGTTGGTGGTTATCCAGATGTCCCACGTTCATGTTCCCAATGGTCTCCAGCACATTTCCACTGTCATCAAAGTCCAGCAGGTTGTCCGTGGCCACGTCTGAGACACAGTGACACAGGGTAAACCAAAAGTGCTGGCAACAATCCAGTGTTTATTTTTAATCAAACAGGAACAGACTGACCTGTCCCCTTAAGACTCCCCAAACTGTTGGACCTCTCCGAACGGGAACTATTACTGGACTCCCCAGCAGAACCAGACTTGGCGCGCTTTCCTTTCTCTATACACACAAGATTCACAGAAATATGATGTACATAGCAGACATAAGGTGTGTATTTAAAATTAGAGGGATAAACACAACCATCTGTGCTTTTCAGATAAAATTGGTGTGACTCATTCCTAGTAATAAACTGCAAAGTGTGGTGTGTGTTGTAAAGAGGTGTTAATATTTAGACAAAAATTAACTGTGGAAGTTATACTTATCATCAATAACAGAAAAACAAGTAATAGTAAGGTTTGGTAATAAAAAATAAACTGCAACACTGCATTGATCTTATTATTATTATTATTATTATTATTAATAATAATAATATTAATAATAATATATTCTCTACAGCCAAAATGGGTAAGAACAAGATAAGGCATTTTAAGGTGAACGATGTGATTTTTCTGGTGGACGGTCTGCCAACTGCTTGTTCTCATAGAGTTCTTAGTGATTTACTTGGAATGTCCCACAGTATGATATTAAGACTTATCAATCTCCATGGAGACAAGCAGGGGGCAGCGTTGCAGGTAAGATATGTGGGGAGGAAACCACTAAAGAATGTATCTTTTTCAAGGTACGTTTAGAAATAAAATAATTATTTTAAGTTTGGAATTGTAATGTCATACCAGGGAATATACCAGGTAATAACATCTCCAATACAAGTCCATGCAGGTGGAAGAATCTGCATCAGAAAAGTTAAATGTATATACAGTTGTCTTTCTGCTACATGTCAAGTAAATAAAAGTTTGACAATGCCCACAGACCATTTTGCAAATCTACCATGTTTAGGGGTTAATTCCTCCCTTATATGAGGTAAACATGCACACTGTACACAGAGAGGACTACTGTGCACCAGGTGATATGTCCAGTTGTTTTATCAATACCAAAATGATACACCTTACATTTATTTCTGAACTAGACATTTGTGATTAAAAATGTTTCAGTAGGATTCTGTATTTTGCCTTCAAGTTGCTAGAATCAAATTTTGACGCATTTGAAAATAAGATACTGGGAGTGCTCACCCAGATCATCAATAAGTAGTATGAAAAACAGTGTTATTATAAAGACAATATTTAACAGACAAAGCAAGAGGTCCGAGGCACTGGTTTTGAAGTTTGCTTTATATATACACCATGTCCCATTTGATTCAAATTCATTATCATGGGTGTACTTTGACATCAGTGCCTACCTTCTTTTGCCACTTGCCAGAGTTCAAAAGCTACTGTGAAGGCTTGTGCTACTGTCAGAGCGACCGCCTGGGCCTAAAGAGGAGAAAACAGAAAGCACAAAGAACAACTCAAAAAGCCTGTCAACTGCACACAGACACCGCTTCAGAGACCCATCTACGGCAGCTAAAGGCAAAATGTCAGGGCATCACTCCAGACAGAGTTGTGAAGTTTGACATTTCATTTAGAGCGTTTTAAACAGAGAAATGAAAGATAAAAAAAAAATCTCTGGATGACAGTTACGGCCATTGCACAAGGATGGGTTTTGATATGTTGTGTGTCCAAGAGTATAGTTATATCCTAGCTTGAAAATGTGGTATTTTTATAAAGTGCAAGCAAAAAGATTGACAAGATGGTATTACTCCTTGTTAATATTATATTAAAGATTATGGCAAAAGAAAAATTTAATTCTGTCAACTGGACAAAAGAGATGTTTCACCGATCATCCAAGAGGCTTTTCTGTTCCTTTGATATGTGGGAAAACGTCTTCACTCTAAAACCTTTACCCAGTGGACAGTTAAAATTTTCTTTTGCTATGGATATGTGGACGACTGAGGGATTAAACGGGCATTAAAGATTATGCATTATTCAAAGGTGCACTGTGTAACTTTTCAGGTGGAGAGTGTTATTGCTTTAGAATGCCTCACATTTTTGTAATTACAAATATTAGAAGTCAAGTTTTTACATTATTCATGTGGTTCTCAAATTGTGGGTGCCCCTAGTAGTCTGTTAATTTCTGATCGGAAAGTATTTTTTCCTCCATGACATCAGATGTGGTTTAGACCCAGTTTTCCTTATAGGGACCTAGTTAATACTACGAATAAAGTAGGATTAGTCCAAGATAATGCATGGGAACAAATTCTTTAGCAGCTTTAGCAAAACTTTAATTTAATAAGTAAGCAAAATTTCCAGCTGTGCATGGCACCTTTTGCTACCTTGTCCTAAAAAGTCTGACTTTCGGGAATTAATGTATGGTCATATTATCCCAGAGGAGGAGGGGAGATGAGCGAGTAAGATGAGAAGAAAAATGTCCTTCTGGATGTCAACGCTAAGCAATACAACAGCACAAAACCACTTGGCTTCTAGAGTTTCCCTAAGGAAGTAAGGATGCGAAGGTTAGACTGGGGCAGAGCTGTCAGACACACAGATTAATGAGGATACAAGGGAGATCCATGCTGGTAAATCAAAGCTCTGGCACAAATATAGATGTAGTAGTAATCATTGTGCATGAATTTGTTCTGAATCTGCTGAACATACCACTTTCCGTTTGGAGCAGAGGTAGGCATGACATTCCAGCGTCCCATTCAGAGTATTTTGGGCTATGTAGGCAAACACTTTATCATGCAGCTTGTCCACAGTGCAGTAGGATATCCTGTGGGTCAAAGTTCAGAGGTCAGTCACATATTGTAAAGTAGCTGAGCTGAGATCATGACCTCAGCTAGTTAGCTTAGCACATGAGCAGGGATGGTATGGGAATAGGCAGCACATTCACCTGTATATTGAAACATTCTCCAGGAGTTTGTCAGTGGTGCTGTCGTATAAAGCAATTCCATTTGGAGAGATTTTGAGGGAGACTTTTTGAGGCTTCTTTCCACTGGCTTTGGCCTGTACAAACAAATTGCAATAAGTTGTGAATGAAAAACAAAAAAACAACAAAGGAGCTCAAGAATTTCAATTTGTTTCTCCCTTCATAAAAAGTAAAAAGGGTCCCAATAAAAATGACAAATAGTTTCTTCAAACAATAAATGTAGCATAGTGACATCCCCACTTAAAACTTTTTTACTAAAGGTACTGAGTAGGGCAACAAGATCATGTTGAAAATGTGAACAGAATCCAATCAATAAAACATTAAATGCTAATGTAATCTCAGTCTCAAACCCTCGGAAAAATCGCAATAAAGAAGTTTTTTCCCAAATTGTTCAGCCCTGATGTATGCAAGTAATGTTTTGGTCTTTTAGCTTCTTTTGGAACATTTTCTTAGAACCTGTCTTTTAATTAAGTTTTTTGAGATTAATGATTACAGATTACAGTATTCACCATGAAGTACAGGAAAGATTCAGCCGAAACCCACCTTCCCAAATAATTCCAGGAAATAACAGTAGGTTTAATTTTAACCAGGATGAGTCAGCTGGCATAGCAGAGAGGGATACAGGCCTGTAATGAGTGGACATAGACACTGTTTGTGCCTGTCATGTGTAACCCTTGGCCAAAACATACAAAGACGTCGCTGAACAGCTTGTTATTTGTACAGCGGTTTATGATGAAGAGGACACACACGCAAAACAGGGCAAAGGACAGAAATGCAGAACTGGATCAATAGCACCTGTTTAAATTAATGTAGAGCAAGAGTGCCAGTATAAATACATCTTTCCTGTTTAATTCCATTTCTGAAAACATATTTCCTATTGGTAGAGAAGACTATAATAAAGACTAAAAAAATGGTTCATAAAATTACTACTAATACTACTTGCTTCTTTTATCATCAGGAAGTAAGTGTATGGGGTTGGCTTTTCACAAGACAATATTTTACAAAAAAATAATACTGAAAACAAATGGTATTATTCCTGAGCTAATTCTAAAAAGCCTATCCCATTGTAGCCAGAAGTGGTATTGACACCCATGACATCGGTCAGTCAATGACATACTAATATATAGACAGAAACAATTATGCTTAACTTATATATACTGCGGCAGTGACCTCATAGTGGTAATCATATGATGGTCTGCCTTAGTTTTAAAACACATGCAGACCTTAGCTGTTATAATACAGCGTTGTATAGTCTTCTCCTTCGCAGTACACAAAGTTTCATTGTGAAAAAATGTTCTGTTTAAAGAAATAGCCAAGCGTCTGTGGAAGTAAAAGACATTCTTGTGAAATGGTACCTAGTCAGCCACGAGCATGACGCTATGGTGCCTTGTGATGAGGAGTTATGACATCACTGAGGTTTTTCTCCTTTTGTGTTTGTGTTGTGTCTGGATATCTCCATCTGTTGTTGGGAAATGTCCAGTGTTTCCATTTGACACATCATAATACCCATAAAGCCAATGACACAGGCTCTCACCGTGGCAACAATCCTCTTAACTGCCGCTGCTGAGAGCTCCTGACCCTTGGGCTGGTCAACTAGGGTCATGCCCAGATGTCGAAGGTTAAACGTCATGCCCTCCAAGATGGTCTCCCGTGTGTCCGTCCAGTTCTCTGGGAGCTCTGCAAACAGAAGTAAAATGAGCCAATAAAACATGGAGCCCACTTGTTGTACATAGAATTTATCAACTTCAAAACATTCAGTATTTGTTTGTGTCAGCACATATTGAGGCAAATCAAAGTAAAACTACACTGGTCATGAGAACTTATTTTTCAAGTACTCGGGAAAGAGGAAATATAAACAGGCTCTGTTGAACTTATATTGCGCCATTTGAAGAGCGCTTTCCCTGAAAAACAAACTAAAACAGTCTTTCTAGGTCAAAGGTATTGCAATGTAAAGTCAATATTTTGGATCCAAAAAAATGTCCAGTGGTCTACTTTGCAATAACACTGGGGAAAGTTAAAAACATCAAACCACCTCCATCAACATTTCCCGACAAAACTTTATACAAACAGAATAATAATTTCCTGATGCAGTAAGATGTAGTGTTACTGCTGTGACTATTAAAAGCATATTTCAGTCGTTTGATAACACATCTGGATACATAAATTCTCAGCAAAAGTATCCAAATTTGATAATTAGGGAAACAACTGCAATTTACATGTCAACATTGGTAAATTGCAAAGCTATACAAAACAATATGTTGCAAAGTCTTCATAAGATACTCAAAAACACAGATTTACTACATATTTGAATGGTACTTTGATACCAAATGTGGTTCTGATTCTGGTTGATTAATCAGCAAATTCCAAATGGATATCCCACCGATAATAAGCAAACTAGGTGTTTTGCCTTAAGTGTGGACACACACTTCGCGCTAGAGCCACTGCTCCACCTAGGTATTCCCACTGGTCTCCCATTCAAGCACTAACCAGGCCTGGCAAAGCCTCCAAGCCTTGACGAGATTGGGCATTGACAAGCATGCCATTCAACCGTGCTGCAAAGGAGGAATGAGCAGTTGTAACAAAGAGTATGGGCATTTTGTAACTTCTATTTGAACAAACTGCAACTATCTCAATGTTCACCTCTGTCAGCAGCAACCATTAACTCACTTCATCAATGCAAGCTAGTGCTATCAACATTGTACGTCTGTAGTTCTTAAATTGTTTAATCAGTCGATGGTGCTTTAGTCAGCCAAAAATTGTAATAGTTATTAGAGAGTGAGTTTTTCTTTTCTAGTACTTTTCTGCACATAGTTTTTTGCGTGAAATCCCGTGCAAGTGTAGTCTTGTGAGTGCAATGTGGGTCATGTATTGAGATTTTGCCATGCCCTGTTTTTAAGGTGACCAAGAATTTCTTTAGTCGACTACAGCCCTACAACACTGTAACATGGACACGCAGCTCTCAACACTCAAAACAATACCAGATGCTGGATTCCTGCAATTCATGTTAAGGACAAGTAAATGGCAGCATTCCAAAGCCTGTGTGCTAAAGAATGAATACTACAAAACTATCATTCTAGGGCACAGAGGCTACCTGAGGTTTTATCAAGTCCAACCCTGACCTATAGCTTGTGTTTACACAGAAGAAAAGTACGTGGCCGGTAGGGAGGGGCAGTATGAAATGTAGAAATACTTGGAAATGTACCCTGGAAGCATTTACTCCTCTGGGATAGAGCACATACCTCACACTCAAGCAGACACATGTTTGCGCACACGTGCAGAGGTTTCAAATGAAGACCTGCTATTTGTCATGTCAGGGGATTTCAGAGGCTAACACACACTTTTGGCCAGTGTTAAATGAGGAGGAAAATACAAAGTGCCAAAGATAAACAAATTAGTCATTTTTCTTTATTTAACTTTTTGTAAATGGAAGTAGCAATTTTATTCTTGTATTATTAATTACTAAATAATTAAAGACAAATTGTATTGCACTCTCTTGAATGACAAGTGGGTATATGGACAAGCTCATTTTATCATTTTTCTGACAATTTACAATTTCTTTTAAATAGGGTAGCCTAAATCTGCTACCATTTCTTGGCTGCTATACTTTTAGTTCTCCAAATTTGGACTGAATTATTTCAGTGGATTAGTGTGTAGTAGGCAGCATAGTGTAAAACATGGGGGTGTGGGGAGTGGTCAGCGGGTAAAGGTTATTCGTCCTGACACGTGAAAGGAAACAGCTGTGTGCATGTGCTAACTGAAACTAAGCTAAGTGATAGCAGGTGAGCCCTCTGTACAAGACTGCAGAGCACAGCATCGGCAGATCTATTACTGGGAATCAAGAGGGAGGGCAGCCAAGGTGAGGGGTCTCGGGTGACACAGACTGCAGAGGAAATCTGGTCTCCAAGATTAAGATTATGGAAAAATGCATATTATAAGAATCCACAAAATAATTTGAGTTTTTCAAGCAACACATAATGCACTTATTTTAGTCAAGTTCAAATTTGGAAGTAGCCAAGTTCATTGACTGTATATGAGCATATTATAATAGACAAAACTGCCACATCTAGCCATATACTGCCATATATTGATAATATACCATTTCAGAAACAACAGACCGTATTTAAAGTTGTAATAGATTTTGTCTTCGTACTAAGAAGTGATGTGCCTTTAATTTTGACATTTCCCCACACAAAAACCTCTATTGAAAAACCATGAGAGGGCACACATCTGCTGAGACTAGCCCTCACATTCAGGCTGATTTATGCCCCTACACCAAACACCCTCGCCGTAGCAACCACTAACTCTACTCCAACAACTTCACACAACGACAGTATAGCCAAATAACCATTTACACCCAGCTTTTCTACTAGTTTGACCCTTTTCCAACTCTGCTGAACTGGATTAATCAGGAAGGAAATTTCAAGCAAATTCTTGATGGTGACGTCAGGGTTCTACACAGAAATATAAACAAGATGGGAGAATGGGAGATTTCCGAGAGAATATGCAAAGTTAAATACACATCACAGACTGATTTAGTTTCATCTTGTACACAGGGAGTAGCCTATAGCAAACACGAGTAAAGACTAATCCCAAAATCAGTTTGAACCAAAAACTGACCCAAAAACAAAGTACAGGAGGTTTTCAATGTTCTCAAAGCCTAACAACATTTTCCATTGGAGACTCTAGTGGACTGACCTTTGAAGCCCAAGAAGGCTGGAGACTATGTAAGCATGGGAAAAAAGTTGTTCCATTCAGAGTCAATTGATAGAGCATACCAAGATCCTCAATTCAATACAGATAATTATAAGCAAGGTTAAGGTTTAAGTTAAGACATTTGTCCCCTACATTTGACCCTTACCCCCTTTTAGTAAAAAGTTACAAATGGTGGACAACCACAGCGCCCAAGGATTCATCAACATGATCTTTACCTATGTTTGAAGGTTTGAAAGGTCTTACTTTCATTTTTCACTGTAATTTTGTACTGGTCCTGTGCCTGGATAATTTAAGAGTTTTATGTCCAAAAAGATTTTTTGTTACCAAGAGACGTAAGTAAGTTCATATCAATTTGTACTAACAGCTTTTACTTAAAGCCTTAAAACAACTGTCAACTTTCTACTCACGGCAAACTCAAATTGCTATCTATTTTGAATAATAGCCTATGTACAGTTCACTCTATGACCAGGATATTTCAATAAATGTGTCTCCCTACAGCTAAAACCTAAACATAATCCTAATAATTGAATACTAAAACATATCATTAATGCCTCAACGCTGCCTTTTTCGTACACAAAAAAGAACATCCAATGTTTTCCTGCCAACTGCTAGGCTAAGTAGCTGGTATTTAGCATGTCACAGAACACCCAAACGATTATTAGCATTGTGCACTGTAGCCCCACTCCACACTCTTGGCTTGTAACGTCTCCATTTGGGAAAGGGCATAGCTGTAGACAGACTCCTCTGGCTGGTCCTTGACACTGGCACTGGTCCACTGCAGGTTGTCTGGGGCGACCAACACAAGGCCACTAGCGGACAGAGGGAGAGGAGAGAGAGAGAAGGACCCTGCTGTTTGCCGTTTGAAAACAGAGCAGTCTCTATTGGGATGGATAAATGAATGCTGTCAACTGGCTATGGCCCTCAGTGGACCCATCCATTCTGGTTACATGCAAGAAATGGTATATTTTTACAATGCGCAATGCTGATGGGTTGGGTCAACATGGGATTCTTGGTGGAGAGTAGAAATTTGTTGGTAGTTGGTTGGTGGTTGGATTTGATTGTGGTTAACTAGACAGTGCTTATCAATGTCATAGCTACTTCAGTGTATAAGTAGCAAGCATTAAAAGAATAATATTAATGTCAAACTGAGTAGAGTTTGACAAGTTAATCTGAAAATGGCAACTTTTCTTTACCAAAAAATTATGTTGCTTTCACCTAATTGAATCTATATTTCGTGAGGAATAGAAACCACCTCTTTGTTATCAAGATATTGTTTATGTACTGGACACACAAAAAAATAAATAAATCTACAATCAAGCAATAATATGCAAATTATTTTCATACATTGTGCACAAAACTACTGGAAAGCACTCCCAAACTTTTCTGAACTGTAGTCTGCACTCTGCCTCTCACTGCGTGTTAAAGGTCATTGTTGGTTACTCAAGTGCAGCAAAATCCTGTGTAAAAATACAAACATTGGTTAAAGTGGGTCAGTGCAAGGAACATTAACTTGATTAATTGTCAGAGCACATCCCATACAGTCTACATTCAGTCAGTTATTTGCTCTTTGATAATACCATACCGGAAAAGTCAAATCACTCACATGAACAACAGATTACTGCCTTTTACATAGTTTGGTACTGGTAGGATTTTTAGGTAATGGTCTCAGTTACAAGCAGCAGGGAGACCTTTTTACAGTAAAGTGCACTGTAATTCCTAATGACCCTATGGAATCCAAAGCAGAGTTGCTGAACTTGAGTGGTGGGGGCAGTGCACTGAGTGACCCACAGCATTCCTCCATTGTCTTGAGCTGGTTACAGGCAGCCCACAGCTTTCAGGCTCTAAGCTCCTCATCATTCCCCACAGAACTTTATGTGACGGATCAAGTGAGATTTACTTTACAAAGTGGCCCTTGAGTCTCACAATGAGCGGCAGACTGGCCTGAGCAGTGAGAGACCACAGACTTTCGCCCCTCTCCACACAGTCACTGAAAATGGAGTTCTGTTCCTCCTGAACTTCTATTTCTTCTTTATGCAATACACTGATGTAAAAGTAATGTTTTAGAATTAATGTCCTTTCTGACATAAGTTTATTTTCTTTGCCACTGGCACTAAAGTGAAAACAAAGAAATTGAACCACATAGCTTCTGTTCACCAACAAACCAAAAGGAAAGGAGTTTGATGTCAATGTCCTGAGTCTATGGGCAAGAAACACTTTAACCAGGTTTGATTAGGTGGTGACTGGACAAACAGCCACCAGTTCATCAGTCTGCCACAGGGCAGCATATCCACTGCTAACTGGGCTAATAATACACCAGATTGTTGAAGCTGAATGCATAATTTATTATTAACATATTTACATGTTAAAATAAAATACAATGTTCAAGTAATTTAAATTTTGGTCATAAGCCTCCCCTCAACTGTGCTAAAAAGATTTACTATTGAACCTACAGACTCTACTGTAGGCTATTGAAGCAAGTAGGGGCTCTCCCGCGCCCTTTCCATTTAAGATTGTTGTCAGGATGATTCTTAGAAAGTTCAAGTAGCCTGTAACTCACAGTGGCATAAGGCTCACTGTCCCATGTCTGTGTAAGGCGATAGCACCAAACATGACCTTTATTTAGCTCCCAGTCACTTTCAAAATAGGATTTTGCCGGAAAAATCTCTGAATAGAAGGAAACCGCATTTCAAAACAGTCCAGAGAAAAATAACTCCCTAATTCCCAAAAAGGGAGAGGGTGGTTCAAATGTTATATCAAGACAAAAGGTGAAACCTAGAAACATCAAAAACTAACATAACTTTGAAAACAAGAAGTTGATTATCTCCCGATTCCAATAACATGGACACAAGCTAGCAGCGGCAACAACAGGGATTGGCCAAAAGTGAACCAAAACAAAACTTTAAGCGTGTTGAATCTTACTTCTGTGTCTGCCCGATGTCCACGATTGCTTCGCCATGCTGGGACTTCGGATGATTGCTCGCCCTGCCGACCTGAGCGCATCCATTTCGGTGTAGCAAAGTGCTGCGGTCGGTGAGGTGTCCGAGGCGGTGGATTGTTGTGGAGATTGTTGTGGAGTGGTGAGTGTTGATGGAGACAGAGGACAGGCTGCTGTGCTCTGTGAATGTGCTGCTGTGGTGCCTTCCCGTGCGCTCAGAAACTCCGCTATTTACGAGCTGGCCGCACGTGAGCGAGCCCAGCTGAGAGACCACACAGAGACACGTTTAAGGGCACCTGGGAAATTTGAGATCCACAATGTTTTTTAGTGTTTAATTGGTGTGTTTTATTCATTATTCGGCACATTTTTTGTTTGGTACACTGTAACCTTCTACTATCTGATCAGATGTGCATTGAGCACATTTTGATAACATTTTGAGTAAACACGTGGCAGTTAAACTTTTTAACAGTGAGGGGAGTAGTGTAACTACAATTAGTTGTAGTAGTTGAGGTTATAATATGAGTAAGAGGCCCTAGTACACAAGCCTGCTCAAGAGTAATTTAATTTGCCACCACTTCAAAGATAAGGCTATTTTATTTCTCATGAGGTAAAGGTGCAACTTTACTTGTCTCCATGGATATGTTATTGCCTTGCTTGGAATGTTCCACAGTAAGGCATTAAATGTATCTAGCAGGTGGCACCACCAGGCCAAGTTACAGGTCACATCTGGAGATACAATCCTACCAATAGCGTATTGTCAATGTTTGAGTGACAATGTAATTTAATAACAATAACAATAAAGTTAATATACTCTCCATGGAACATTCTAGTTAAAGCAACAACAGCTCCATGGAGACTAGCAGGCGGTGCCCCAATCCATAACAAAAAAATGTATGCACATACTGCACCTTTAATTACAAAGTTATTGTGGGTTTCAGATTATAGATGGGATGAACCATCAGATTGGAGGCAAGAGACAGTTTTCCACATTGATTACATTATACTTTGTCATGAAATATTCAAAAGGTAAATTCACAAATGTTGAACCTGATCATTTCTATTAGTAACTAGACCTAAGAACTCACCGTATTACAACAAAAAAAATCTTTATTTTATCAATATTCACTTTAGCCGTTCCATCTGTGTTAAATATTATTGGCCTATAGAATATTGTGATGCCATCTAAAACCCAGCAATGCATCCCAAGTTATCATTTACCAATTTAAGAAAATGTGTTTGTCAAAATAGAGCATTCATATAAAACAGATATAAATTGAAAAGTTTGTATTGCCACCAGCAAAACTTTCTTTAATATGTGATGAAAGTGAAAGGAGACACAGTCACCATCACTTAAAAGAAAGAAAATAAACGAAGTGGAACAATGATAAACAAAGCACTTTTTACTTTCTTTTTCGTTCTAATAAAAACTGGTAGAAACAACTCAAATACTGAATTCACAACGCCAGAGCGATCCACAAACTACTTTTCCAGGTAGGCAAAATGACAGCACAACATGGTGGAACGGGGTGACCATTCCCAACACAACATTCACAGAATCCTTCCAGATAGAAAATATAAGGAAATCAACTGAATACAATGTGAATATACCAAAGATGTGCCACTCAATAATCCAATGTCTATAGGAAATAAATTAAAGTGCCAACACAATCGTTCTAAACATCTGTTGCCTAATCATATCCAGCCCAAAACCTTGTAAACACGACATCATCCAAACAAGTTCAAATGACAAAGAAACAGCACTCTATTGCAAACATTAGGCTAGCTACACTGATAAAATGTATAGATGGAAAAATGAACATCAACACTTTTGACCTGAAAATTGAAATCAAAGAAAACATTCTTCAGTAATAATGTACATTGTAAACAACTAAATGCCAGCTTTTGGGCGATAGAGAAATAAATCATTAGTGTTTGGCATACCAAGACTGTAAAATCTCGTGTATCTTACCCAGTGATATGTCTATCCTTTGAGGCTAAAATACAGACACTTGTCCACTGTAAAACAATCCATTATGTCAAATATACAAGTTGACATTTTTAATTATTTTGCCTTAATACTGAATTGTTTAAGATATGCTTATCAGACGTTATACATTGGTACATAGAAAAATTGTGTAATTATTGATTGATGCTTTTGGATTCCAAGGATGTGGTTTCACTGTTGTACAAAGAGAAATCAGAAGGCACTGTACATCTGCACACTGCAAAAATGATATCTACATTATTATATAATAGCTTCAATTCAGAATTTACACATTATTTGATAAGTAGATTTTACTAGTTTAGATGTATTCAGTTTGATCTACATAAAAAAATAAAAATAAAAAAAATTAAAAATCAAGAAAATTTTTTAAAAATAAAACAAAAAGTCTGTCAATGAAAAAAAAAAAATCTTTTGCCACAGTAAAAAAAAAAAAAAAAAAAAAAAAAAAAAGATTTAAATGGTCAGACTTCAATAGTTATAGCTAACTAAATATATATATATATTAAAAATCTCAAATCAATATTCTAAATTGAAGTGCTTTGTAATTAATGTAGATATCAGTTTTGGCAGTGCAAGTATTGGTAACAGCTTGTTACCTAGACATCATTTAATCCAATGATCTGTATGGCCTTAGCAGGTTTGAATTTGGTCCAGACGGAGAGTGGTGAGATGTCTGCAGCAATTAGTAATGCAATGTAACTGTGACATTTTGGCAGTGCCAGGTCCAATCTAATATTTTTAGGACAAAAATATATCTTGATTTGGTAATTTGAGCCAGCATGAGACTGTAAATGGACTGGTATGTATGTAGAACAATTAGTGACTATTGTACGTTTCTGAAAATGCCCACTACAGTAATTAAATCAAAATGTTGCAAAAACAATCACTGGTTTTGTTGATGGAAATATCAAACATGAATAATTGTACATTCATGTATCTCTCAAGGGATTCTACTGTACAGGCAAACAGCTACAAAATTAAAACATTGCTTCTGTCTTGATTCAAAGTAAAATGTAAACAAAATGGTTGCTGTAAACTGTAAACCAAGAATTAACATATTCCCTTGTTCAATTTTCAACACTGTATAGTAATGGCTCAATCCCCAAATTCCAAAAATGACAATCTAAGTCTAAAAAAACAACAATTTCTGCATGTCAAATAACATATAAACTTGTAAACACGCACAAAAACCCAATCCAGAAGTTTTACCAAAATAAAGTTAACAGCCAATGATTCTGACTGTGTCTCAGAGTCACTTTTTGAGAGGCTGGTAGACTGAGGCGTTGGGGTCCAGGGAGGAGGAGCTATTGTCCATGAATTTGGAGGAGTAGTGTGGAGTGACAGGGCTCAGGCTGCTGCCATCTGCTGCGTATGACAAGCTGGGCATGACAGCCATCACCTCTGCAATCTTCTGCTTCAGCTCAGCGATCTCCTGCTCCCTCTGGTGGATCTGGCCTAAAAATAGAGGGACAAGATGTGTTTGAGTACATGTGGTTAAAAACAATTGAGTAAAGTTAGGACTAGGATTGTCACAATGTCAATTTCATTGAGACTGACAGAAAAAAAATATAGTGAAACTGTGTAACAACTTCCATTCACAATCTAGAATGAAATGTGCCGTGTAACATTTAGATTAAATAGTATCTATGTTTTTCTTTGTCTACGATAGGAACAGTGTAGTCTATGACCTGGTTTAACCCTAATTTTGATCTGGAAGTAGAGGTGCCAAGTATTGAAAATCAGATGCTAATTGATACTAAACCCAACATTGATACTAAATACTCATTTGAGCAAGTATTGATACAGCAAAAAAAAATCATATTAACAGAACAAAATTTGAGCTTTCCTAAACTTTGATTGAGCTTTATCAGAACCAATATAAGAACTCATGCTAAGATAAAGAAAGTACTATTATCTATGAAAATTACCTTATTACTAAAATAGCTCAAATTTTTAGTTATTGTGGTATCATAATTTGTATCAAGTATTGAATGAATTCCTTAGTATCAAATTGACTTTGAAATTTTGGTCTCGTGACAGCACTACTAAGAGACTTAATTCTCATCAGGTGTTACTTAGGGAATGCCTTCCAAATCACCCCAACATTAACATTATAAACCTTGTTAATTTTCAAAAAGTCTGTGGTGGTAGGTAAACAATGAACAGTTTTTTTTTTCTCCAGTATCAGTGTTCATTCTTTTTTGACAATATGTTATAGTAAGGGGAAGATTTATTTAGGCATAACGCACTAGTTCTGCTATTACAAAAACTACTAGCTCTTTTGTTATGTTTTCCTATGCGCTTGATGCAGGTTACCTTGTGCGATTTCAAGCTGCCTTTTTGCATCCCCCAGAGCAGAGAAGAGATCCAGTTTGATCCTGGTCTCTGCACTCAGGCTGTTCTCCAGGTGCTGGGTCTTCTCTTGCATGGCTGACAGAGCTGACATCAACACCTCTGTGTCCTTCTCATTCTCCTTATACTTTCTTAGCTCCTGTGTGCAGCAACAAATGAGGGGTTGAAGTGAGAGCAAAATGTTATGACATCAACAACCCCAACAAGATTTTATGAGGGAATCCTATTTAAATTTCACAGAAAACATATCATTTTTTTTATTTGAATCTTTGATTTGAAAATAAATTACCATCTGAGAAAGAAACAGTAACCTAGTTTACTGTAAAAATGCATGTTTAGGACAAAATATATATCTTGATTGTGGTGTGATGACAGCTGTATGTACAGCTCATAACTGGTCAAATAAAGAAACTCTTACTTAATTATGAAATATTATTCCAGTAATAGTAGTGGGTGAAAAGGAATAGTAACTTGTCACACCTGACATTTGCCCTCTAGATCCCGAATCTGCTCCTCCTTTACTTTCATATCAATGCTGAGCTTCTTACACTCTGTCTCCAAATCTCTGATACGTCCACGGAGAGTATCAGTGGACTCCACCCTGTTGGACAAATAAGGATGACAAAAAGACAAGGATCAATTATTATTATATAAATCAAGATCAGAATTTGTGGCTAATTCAGTGAAATAGTGTGTTATATGGTCTACCTTTAAAAAATACAACAACACCAGTGCCACTTATTTTAAAGAAGACATATTAGGCTTTTTTCTGCTATATTATTTAAAATATAAAATAATGATCCACATGAGTCATAGATTTTAACATTTTAAAAGCACAAAAAAACTGCTATACTGCCTCTCACCTGCCTCTATATGGTACGTCAGGGTAAATGTCATCACAACAAAATCCCATGCTGTTCACCATGCTGATGGCCCCTGCCTTAGAAGCTGTTAAAAGTCTATTTTGCATAATATATGTCCTTTTAAACCTCTACAGCTCACATGTTGTACTGGAATGCACATTATAAGATTACTACTGGTAATGTTCCCTACTTGTGATGTGCATACAGAAGAATAATCTGCTGTAGTAATTACTGTGACAGATCTATCATTAGGTTGACGTGTAATACCTTGTGGCAGCCGCTAAAGCCACAGCCCGCGCTGCAGTGGCCTCCTCCATCTTCTTCCTCTTCCTCTCCTCAGCCAGCTGTTTCTCTGCCAGGGCACGCGCCTCCTGCTCTGCCTTCAGCCTCTTCTCCAGCTGGGAGATGGTCTGCTTGTCCTTCTGCTTGGCCTGCACTGCACTGTGGAGCCTGAGACAGTGACACGTCAATGTTAATGTGCTGCTTTGTCCACTTTTTCTATATTCTATTGTAGATAACACTGAGTTCAAACTATGCTATTACTTTCTGACCTTTTTTTCTAAAATCACTTACTTACTTTCATTACACCACTATGGCACCAACCTGGACGACTAAGGGATTACACACACACATACACATATACACACACACACACATATATATATATATATATATATATATATATATATATATATATATATATATATATATATATATATATAAAATTTTGAACATTATGTCATAGTTTTATCGTCCAGATACAAAAGTTGTTTTTTTTTTTTTTTTTTATTAGCACTGTGTCATTGGAATCGGTATTGAGTCTATTCCTTACTATCCAAATCAAGTTTGAAATTTGATAGTACTGTAACAATACTAATAGATTATATAATTTGGGACATTTAAAAGATTAATAATATTTATATGAGCTTTTTGCAGTGTAATCCAAATAAACATTAAATTTAATACAAACTCTTTCCTTCTTTTGGATGCACTGCTGCAACTGTAGTACTGTTGTTATAAAAAGTAGCATTATATAATGTCACATCTGTGCTGTGTACATTTGTGTAAACAAACAAGTCTTATGCATTATGTGAGATAAAGCACTGGTGTGGAGGTCAAGATGAATTCACATTAAAAACAAAAGTTATTTAAACCTAACAATAGAAGTTTTTTCTCCTAAAAATGTTAAGTGTCTTAGGTAGGTAAAACTCAGTTACATTTATTTGAGTAACTTTAAAAAGTCAGAGTACTTTTCTAGTGGCATACTTTTACACCTATTCAACAGTTGCTTTGGTCTTGCCACTGTGAGCAAGTATGGTAATCAAGGCGTTTTGATGACAACATTAATGTGTTTCTCGCAAGCCTCTAGATATGATTTAGTTTTATCATTTTTGGCAGATTGTGTGCATTGTTAATGTTATGTCCTAACTGCATTACATTCTAATTATAAATGTTAGGGCATAACAGAGTAAGAGTCAACTGGATTCTGGTCATAATGTATAATCAAGCTAGAACACCATATCAACATAGCGTCTAGATGTCTCATGTAGTCTACTGATATGGGCACAGTCTTGCAATATGTCCTTCAATATGACATTCTACAAAGGTCATTTAAACTCTTCATGTGGAAGCATCACCAGGGCTTGGATAAGTAATTCCATGTATGACAATGTTGTGTCTTGAAAGCTCCCCCTGGCCATTGTGATTTGTAATAAACTTCTTCTACGACATTCAGACCATCTCCATCTATATTCTATGCACTCCTAGTGAAAATTCTACAAAAATAAAATGAGATGTTTCCTGTTTCCTGACAGTTACTCTTTAGGTTACTCTAACTTGATTAGTAGTTTTCCAAATACTTTTTAACTCTACACTTACTTTATTTTTTTGGATTACTACTTCGTACTGAGAAATATTATTTTGAAGTACTTGAGTAAAATCTTTGGCTCCTCTATCCACCTCTGTCAAGTGTAAATAACGGATGTAATCAGACTGTGATGTGATGCCTTTGTGCACTACCCACTTGTTTTGGAGGAGCTCGTTGTCCTGGCGCAGTTGGCTGAGTTCCGAGCGGAGGCTGCGGTCCTGGCTGCTCAGAGAGGACAGCTGACTGCGTAACTCTGACTCCAGCTGCCTGTTGGCCTGCAGATCTGCCTTTAGACGCTTCACATCCTGTTCCAACCTGAACATAGGAGATCAGATGTACAATACGTTTTTAAATATAAACAGCTGATTTTGGCACCGCATGATCAGTCTCTCTTACCGTATTAAGGCATCTGGTTTGCCCAGTTGGTTGTTGGGGATGCAGTTCTCTACAGGATCCTTTTGACCCTTTCCCGCTCCTTTCTGCTTCTTCTCATTCTTATTGGCTACGGGTCCTCCCTGTGGGACACTCCCATTTGAGGAACTGTGATTTCTTGGCGGGGAATTGGAAATTGCACCCCCGCCTCCACTGGCATTTTTGTAGTTCTTTCCCGTGCCCCCCATATCCTCTTTAGAGTGTGTAGTAGTAGTGCTGTCTGCAAGTGTGTTTTCTGCCAGGTCGTTGTTCAGTTTTTTTGACCCAACGTAGTTTTCAATGTACTCTGCCTCCTGTAGTTTGGAGTCCAGTGTGTGGATAATACTGTTGTTATTGATACCCACTGTGTTATGTTTTTTGCCCTCTCTTGAACTGTCCTTCCCTTTTTCTCGATATTCTAGTTCAGGTAATGTGGCCGAAGTGCTTTTCTTTCCTGGAGGTCCTCCGTTTTGTGATATGACAACAGGTTCCACCTCTGAGATTCCTTTGCTTATTGCAGCTGAAAGACACAAGGCAAATTGGTTACAGCTACACATAAAAAGAAAAAAAAATTAATGCATATGAGTTTAGTTTACTTGACAAGTTTATTTCAAGGTACAAAGTTAAGGGCATAATTTTTAGGAAAATACATTTGGTGAGAGGAATTATATTTTGGTATTGGCTTGTTAGACCTTTTAACTATTAATTAAAGCACTGCAATGTAATTTAAGACTGTAATTGACTAACAAAATACTGGTTGACTAAAGACATACCCTGTGCACCATTTGGCTGACTAAAGGAGTCATAGTGCAGCACCACAAGTACTAAACAGTGGATATATCTGTAAAAAGTATGTTTAAACTTACATTGCACTCCAAAAACTCAAGCAACCTCACTCCAAGGCCAGCATTCTTGTTTATGTGGTTTGTCCTTATAAATCAAACAAAAAACTAAAGGCATTTGCCCTAAAATCATTATATCATATTACCAAAGAAGCGGGATTGTTCTAAGTGGTTTACTATAAATGGACCTAGAGCTTTTTAACTTCATTACTTAAAACCTAATATGTCTTTCAACTGATCTAAAACATCCAACATGAACTAAAATACATAAATTAAAAAAAATACAGGAATATTTTGAACTTGTAAGATCAAACAGATTCTGTAAGAGCAAATCTATAGTTTTAATCTAGTTTACTCGTGAGTGAATAGCATACCTTCCTCTGCCTCTCTCTCCTGTCTCTGTAGCATCTGCTGCTCTGGCGGTAAGGCTTGCTGTAAAAGCTGCATGTAGAACTCATTCTCTTTTTGCACCTCCTTCTGTTTCCTCAATCGCATCTTGTAGCTTACATAGCTCTTGAAGCCGAAGCCAAGAGTCACAACTGGATAGCCAATGCTGTAAAAACAAACAGGTCATTTGATCTGCATCTCATATTATGCTTTTCTCACATTTCTCACTGCACTGTGCTAAAGCTTTGGTAACAAAGTAAGTACTCACACATTCATTCACATAAATTGAAGAATATTCAAAAGAAAAGCCTACCAGTGAGCAGCAAAAGGCCGACATAGGTCTACATGAAAGTTCTTCAGATCTTTAAAACGGATAGCCGCTTCAATGTACACAAACAAGATCCAAAGCGATACAGTAGGTAAACAAACTCCTCTCTCTTTGAAAAAACAACAAAAAAAACCCAAATATGAATAGCTCACATCAAAGATAAAAAAGCAATATGTCAACCTTTTGAAAGAATAAACTAACCTGTATGCCAGACATACTGGACCCATACGTATGTGCTGGCCGCAAAAAACAACCATTGCACCGGAATAAAGAGGAGGCAGATTATGTCTGATGTAAATGCCACACATACAAAGAAGACAGAGAATGCCTGCCAAAAGTAATGCAGAATTTTATTTTTATAAACATGACTGCTAATGAAGCATTTTAATCTCAACTGTTTATGCTAAAATTAATATACTATATAGTTTCTTACCAGCCCCTGATATCTAAAGGAGTCGTAGACACTTCTGATGAACAGCCAGAAAGGCCACAGGTATTCAAATCGGAACTCCAGCACGAAGTCAGCCAGCAGAACCAGTACCCACACTACTAAGAACTTCAAGTACAAAAAGGTACTGGAAAAGACATAAGAACAGAGAACACATTATACTTACAGGCTTTATGAAATAACAACAAATAAATAAATACAATAATATTGCATCAAATATTATACAAATACAGTTTCATGCATAATAAAATAAAGATGAAAATAGACATGGCTGCACATAAAAGTACCAATAAACTGCACTATACATGGACAGGCATGCTAACAAAGGGGATGGGGTGCAGGATACATGTCTGAACATGCACACATAAAGCACATCTGGTTTTGCACGTCTGTCAACTCACCAGAGCACAAAAATAAACCACTGCATTCTCTCTTACTTACAATTCCATGCATTTATATTTGTTTCGACTGGTAAATGTCTGCCCAATGCCAGTCCAGACAAAGCACAGGTGAGCCCCGCTCAAGTGTCATGCCAGACAACAAAACGAGCGCCTGTCACTGATGCTGTCATATCAGGCTAAAACAGCATTATTTGCACAAGTTGCATCCAGTAACACATTAAACGGGGCTGCACAAAAAACAGGCTGCAGATTTTATGAAATAGCTCACAATTACGTGTTAACGCTATATTACATTTGCGCATTTCATAAAATTGGCTAGCGAAGGGGAAAGTACACGCATTTGCAGCCAGTAAAGTAACGGTAGGCCTGCCTTTGTAACAATATTATTACATGCTTATTTAGTCCTTTAAAATCCATAGATCAGATCACAATGAGGTATGAATGTACCAGAGAGAGCGAAGCCTGTCTTGACATATTCAGAGAGGCGCCATTGTTACACAATAACGTCTCTCCAGCCCCTTTTTGTACCTGCTATATATACCCTCGGTGATTCGGTTCCGTTTTATCGGCCGTCGGAGTTTGCTGCAGTCCGCATTGCGCCGCTTCATCCTCCCCTTGCTGATTCAGTTGTGATATAGGTCCGGTTACTGTGACAGAGACGTCATTCGTTCATTCTCCTGTGCACACTTGTTCAATTTTCCACCATTGTTGATGTTTTATGCACATGAAACAAAGAAATAAATAAAAACAGTCCGCTGAAGGCCCTCCCCCTTTCACGACACATTACGTCCAGTCTACGCCTGACGTCACCACGCTGGAGACGTAGGAATCATGGCGGCCCTATGGTATAAAGCAAGGCATTTCTTTGGCTTTAAGTTTTTTTCATAAAACATCGGTAAGCGTTGCGATAAAGTGTTGTTATTTTGCATAGCTGTTTGTTTCTATAATAGTTTTATTACATTGTGTTTTGATTGGTTTGTGTGCTAAGATAAAGTATTTACAGACTGCTTTTCCTCAACCACGTTTGTTTTGGCTGTCTGTAACCAACACTGCTTCGTCAAATCTGTCTTTTTCATTCGTGTGTACTTTAAAATTATAGCTATAATATATATAATTTATTTATTGTGTCACTGCCAAAGTAACTTACATAAACATTACATAAACCGTTTTACTCAAATGCTTATTTTGTTCTATAGAAGATGACTATGGAGCTCCCCCTTGAGATCAAGAAAGAGATGGAGGTAGAAAATGAGAGTGCTGATGTTGAAAAGAATGAGAATACTGAACTGACAGAAAGTACCACAGGTAAAAATGAACGAGAAGTGCTAGTGGCCATTCATGAACAAGCGCAAGCTCCGCCTCCACAGGCCGCAGAAGATCACTGTGAAGCTCCACAGATAGTACAGGAAAAACATGAAAACGTTCTTAACCTTAACAATGAGGTGGTCAAGATGAGGAAGGAGGTGAAGAGGGTGCGTGCTCTGATTATTAGGAAGATGACACGGCAGATTGGTGCCCTGAAGAAAAAAAAAGGCAAAGATGTTGATATTGAGCGAAATCAGAGGAGGGCGGCCAGACTGCTTGAAGAAATTCATGCCATCAAGTCCCTTGTCCCAGATTTGGTATGTTTTTTTCATAATTATAATGTCCCAAAAATTATATGTAATGGATATTAAGTACAACATAAATAGATTAAGTAGATAATTTAGTTTTTGTAAGAAGGAGGCCATTGCTTTTTTTTAACCTGTCATCTTTGTATTTTAGGTCACCAAGATGGCATTGCAGAAGAAACTCAACTTCGAACAAGTGTGTAAAGACTCCAAATCTAGCATTTCAGATCGGGCATTAGCACGAATTGCTACCCACCCACAGTTCAACAAAAAGATTGAAGAAATCAAAGCTGCTGTGAAAACTTTCAAGGAGGAGAGGTCAAAAGAAGGAAAGCCTGGTGGAAAGATGCAGAAAAAAGCTGACAAGACCAAAAAGCAGTCACCATCTCCCAATTCAGAAAAAGAGTCAGATGTAGAGGTGAATAAAACTGGGACATCAATTACAAGTAAAATAGACATTGTGGAAGTGTGCTATGAGGGACCTTGTCATAGTTTTCCTGAAGGGCAAGTAGAGCTAAAATTTCACCAGACAGAAACCCAAACTGCGAATACAAATAAGAAAGAAAGCCCTGTAAAAGATATTGTGAAGTCCAAACGGCTAAACAAGTGTGAGAAAAATATAAATACTGCTAAAATGTTAGAAGTACCTCCTAAACCAAGCATGGAGGCAATGGAGGCAGAGAGTGATCTAGAATTGTCAGACAGTGAAAAAGAGTACTTTGACGACAGTACAGAAGAGCGTTTTCACAAGCAGTCCTCAGGTGAGTCCGAGGAGAGTGACAATGATTTCTTTGTGGGAAAAGTGAACAAATTTAAGAAGAAGAAGAAAACAAAAGTGGCTGAGGATAAGACTATTGAAAATACCCTTGAGAACAAATCAAATAACCTTCAAACTAATAAAGTCCAGAGTGAACTTGATGAGCTTGAGTCCAGATTGAAATCTAAATCCAACTCTCTAAAGTCAGTTTTTTGTCCCTCCCTGGCTCGATCAAAGACCAGTAAAGGTGCAGGAAAAGTAGCCAGAAAATTTGGGGGGCAAGACAAATGTAAAGATGGTGTTGGCAGAAATAAAGATTTCAGTAAAGACACCAATTTCCAAAAACAGTTTAAAGGGAAACATTCAGATGGAGAGAAAGCTTTTGGTAAAGAGCAGAAAAAATTTGGAGGGAGGGGACAGGCTAAAGAGCATATAAGACCAAAAGATACAAGAGGAGGAAATATGTTTCCCCATCAAGCATCACAGCAACCATTGCACCCATCATGGGAGGCTAGTAAGAAAAGGAAGGAGCAACAAGGACAAATACTTGCCTTCCAAGGGAAGAAGATTAAATTTGATGATGATGACTAAAATATTTTACAAGTCTAGTGTTAAATAGTGTTGTATATGATATACAATGACATTGTTTATTCTGTACTTTTGTTAATTTTGTGTTTCAAATAATTGTATCTTTAAACTGTGAGATATTGGCAATAAATTGATTTTTTTTTTTAAATCTAAAAATGGAATCTAAAAGCCATGAGTTGAATGGGATATTAAGTAAGTCAATCACTTAGGTTCCACCAGATTACTGCCACAACTGCCACTAGATTTTTGTATTTAAAAAAAAGAAAAGTCATTCAAATATAAAATGTATTTGGTTTTCAAGTCATGACTGGAAAAGACTATACAAAAGTGGATTAAACAATATGAAACATGCTGTTGTGTCAACAATATTTGACATAAAGTCTGAAAAAAACAACTCTTTACTATATGTACATTAGATATGCACATTATTGCCATTGTTCTGTTGATTTTACCTTTTTATCCCATTATGTTCAGTGTTTTGTGTTTTCATTTTTTTTCCCATAAATGTGCTCTGATATTAAAGCACTCTTTTTACACCGTGAACATCTGTAAGGTCGTTCTGTATGAGTTCTCATGTGATCATGTTAAAGTTCCAACTATATCAAAACAACTGGAGGCTTCCACTCATGTGATTTTTCAATATGTAATTTGAGTTGTATCCTACGGCCAAAGGCTTTCTTGCAGGTTGAACAGAAGAACGGTTTTTTGCCAGTGTGCATTCTTTTCACATGTACATGTAGATTAGCACTCTGGGTAAATGTTTTCTCACAGAATGAACAGGTGAAAGGTCGCTCTCCTGTGTGAATCCTCATGTGCCCTCTGAGTGTGGACGTGTCTCCAAACCTTTTATTACAAACTGAACAATTGTAAGGTCTTTCTCCAGTGTGAACTCTAATGTGTGTTTGTAAATGTTGTTTACTCCTAAATCTCTTGTCACACAAAAAGCACTGGTGTTTTCTCAGTTCACATCCTTTTGTCAGTCTTGACTTGCCCCTATCGTCTATAGTGGCTCCCATCCCTGGTGCATCTGAGTTTTGTGCAGCAATGATTCTGTCTCTGATCTGGACCTGGTTGTACTGGTCTCCATCGCCCACATCTGACTCTGCATCGCTGAGTGGAGCTCTCCAGCATTCATCATTGTCAGAATTGTGTTCAGGTTGTGTCTCTGGGTGAGAAAATGGTTTTGAGCTGTTGTCTTCCTCTTCCCGTGCTTCCTCGGTGTGGGCAGTTTGTGAGAACTCCTCGCTCCTCACAACCATAGCACTGGAATGGAGCTCTGCAATGGACACTGACACTGGCTCCTCTTTCATCATCTGTAAAGTCTGTGTGAGGTCCTGGCTGAGATCGGCACCAGGACTTTCCGAAGTCGTCTGGAGACCCGCTCTGAGCAGCACGATTCTAGGGCCGAGGACACAATCAAGAAGCCCTTGTTTCCTCTGATTCTCCTCTTTGAAGCGACACAGTTCTTCCTCATACTCGGCTATCATTCTTTCAAACAGCGCAAATATGTCTTCAGCTACCGCAGTTAGCCGCTTATACACAAGCGCTCTAAACATTTGGCTTTTAGACATTTTTGCAAAATGCTTTTAGCTTTGGATACGAGTAAAGACAGATGCATCTAGCTAGTCACCGCAACCTTGTGTTGTTTAGGGGCGTGGTGGAGCACGTGACAAAGTGACTGGTGAGTTTGTAGCCTCTCATGCTAACAGCTAACGCGTGTGTACCGCTCGTTTCGTACCAGTGTCACAATGGCGAAGAAAACGCAAGAAAATGGAGAACAAGAGCGTGCTATGTTCGTTTGCGTCGCACCCGGATGCACGAATAACAGTGTCAATACGAGAAACATAGGATTTCACAGTTTTCCAGAAGCACAGAGTGCAGTGGAGCGTTGGCTAGCTGCTTTAGGAAAAGTGACACCTCCATCTAGTTCTATGGAAACTGTATGTAGCAAACACTTTTGGAGGAAGGACTTCTTGGATGATCAGCGTTCTATCATTAGAAACTTAAAAACCCGCACTCTCAAACCTGAAGCGGTGCCTTCTATATTTGCTTTTCTCCAGGTAATGCTCATGTTACAAACACCAGCAGTATGGGTCATCCTCCTCACCTTGGAGCTGTCCTCTTTAGAATACAAAGAATATAATCATTGCTTATTTTCTTATAGACAAACACCCTGGAACAAGAAAAGAAAGAAAGCCCAGAAGAGGAGGATGAGGATGATGTTTGCACAGATGCCACGTTGACAGAAGCAGCAAAACGTACGACATCTGCAGAAACGTGACATTGCTTTACCTCATAGAATTTGAATGAGTTCAATTCTCACGTTCAGCTTTTTCTACTTTTCTTCTCTCCGCAGCATACAGACCACGTGTTGATAAAGCACTTGGACAGTTTACTCAAATGTTCATGAAAGCCTTAAACTCTACCTCCAATGGAATTTTGGACATCAAAGACGCTGCTAGAATTGTAGGGACCTCAAAACGGAGAATTTATGACATTACTAATGTCTTAGAGGGGATCTCTCTTATCAAAAAGCCATCCAAAAACTTGGTTATGTGGGTGTAAGTATTTCAGTGGTTAAATGTCCACTTAAATAATGCTGTGTTTTACAACATTTTTCTGTTTGAATTTGTTTATAGGGGTTGGCCAATGGAATTAAAGGATGATGTGCTGAGTAGTCTGGTTTCTGAAGAGAAAAGGCTAGATGATTTGATCAGAAACGCTAAAAAACAAATTGAAGAAATGTATGAAAATCTTCTAAATAATAGATATCCTTTTGCTTGGAGGACCGAAGTTATCTTATAGCAACTCAAGATGTAATTTGAAAAGTTCTCAAAACTTTGTGATTTTTTTTTTCCTCGACTTTTTCAATTACACTTGCTTATGTGACCTACGAGGATATACAGAGCTTACCCATCTTTGAGGACCAGGCTGTGTTTGTGGTCAGAGGTCCCCCAGAAACAAAGCTGGAGGTGGCCCACCCTAAAGAGGTACAACAATTTCACAATTTCATAGAACGAAATAATGTAATTTAAGGTTCTTAGTGTCATATTCTACTTTTGTGCCATCTTTCACATTTTCCAGGCTTTTCAGATTCACATAAACAGTGAAACGGGACCAGTGGAAGTCCTAGTATGCACTGATAACTTGGACATTTCAAACCAGAGCCAAAGACCAAAGTTTGATGACGGGGACTACTCCTATGTTCCATTGCGAGGCATATCTACTACAGCTGTTTCATGCAAAGGTGAGTTTTGCACCCATGGTTGTCGTGAGCAAATAAGTTAAAGATAATTACATGACGTATCTATGAATTAGTATGCATTAACAATTAGTAAAGTAATAACTGTATAAAAGTTATAAGAAGTTATAATGTCATTGTTGGTGAACAAATTTCACAAACTAGTAGGAACTTGCTTCAGCATTTAACCTGGATAGTCTCTGAAATGTAATTTTTAGTCCTGGTTGCAGAGGGGACCTTATTTTACATATGTTTAGTGCAAGTAATGCAATAGTTAAAGGCCATATTATGCAAATATCCAATTTCAATCATATTAGATTATTTTCCTTCTCGTCTACCTACTTAAAGTTGTATTTAGAGTAATTGTAGAGTATGAAACAAAAATGGTGACACAAGTATGAGTAATCTTTATACTCCTGCCTTCAAGACACCAATTAATTTCAAGAAAATTTCCACTTTCCCCTGTCCACTATACATGCCCAGTGCTTCTTTATTTGACTTTATATTAAATAAAGTATAATATTAATTATAATATTAATTAAATATATTACTTTATATATTTTACTTACTGGCCCAAATGGGGAAAAAATGTGGGTCAGCCTCAGGTATGAGCCATCTCAGATTTGGCTAAAAAAAATTCCAAAAATTTCTAAAATCACCAAATGAAAGAATGACAACAGATTCAGAATCTAATACTAACAATCTACAATAATACACACTTTCAGCTTCGTAGCTCTATTTTTTTATGAAGTTATGGTCTCTCAAACATGCTTATAAATTAAGGTGTCAGGAAAAAGTGAGCATGGCCCCAAAATTTCAACAGGCCGTTACTCAGGAACGACTCAATGGATTGAGCTAATATTTGAGATTCTTTCGTTTGGTCAGTTTAGAAATTTTTGGGATTTTTTTTTTCAGACAAATCTGATATGGCTCATGATGGAGGGTGTCTGATTTCATATGGACTGACCCATGTGCTGTTCGCTACAGTGAACTGCAGCTATCCATAGGTGTTTTTTGGGGAGATTTACGGTGATGTACAGTCAAGGGACAGGCATAAACCAGCAATGCTGGAAGATGGAAGCCATTGGACTTGTTTCTTTTATTAAGTCACCTTAGATTAGTATTGCAATTAAAATATTACAGTGCTTCTCCATTTTCCAAACAAGAGTGTTTGAAGTAAACTTTATAATCAAGGCTACTTTTGCTCTTCTTGGACTTCTAATCGTTGGCTAAAACACTGAGGTAAATAGAAAATACAAGGTATCCATCTAGTGCAGGTGTGTCAAACTGAAATTCACAGAGGGCCAAAATTAAAAACTGGGATTAAGTCATGGGCCAAACTAAATATTTATTGAAAAAGTTCAACAACATCTGCATGTTTTCTCTTCTTTCGAGATATGTAATATTAAACCTTTTCTTATTAAAATAAATGTTTAATAATGGTTTTGCTTAAGCATTGAATCCAGAACAACCATAATATTAAAAAAATAACAAAATTTTAAATAATGTCTCTATTGCCTATTTGTAGCTGGCCTGCCAACTCTAATATATACTTGATATGATCTCGCAGGCCAATTACACTTACATCATGGGCCAAATTTGGCCCCCAGGCCTGAGTTTGACATGTCTGATCTAGCGTGACCTTTCATGTCATTGCAGCTGAATGCTGCAACTATAATTATTGTACATTTGTGTACTCTGAAGTAAGGTCCGCATACAACTGAACTAGGCCTTTTATAAATGAATAAGGAATAACTATGGGAATGTAGTAAAATTTAAAAGTGTTTCAGTATGTGTGGATTTGAATTAGGATATGATGTTGCGATGTCTCAGTCAACAGTAGTACTTGTGTCTCAAACTTTGACTTTGTTTTATACCTTTGCTGCCTTTGCACAGTTTAAAAAGCATGCTGTTGACAATAGGTTTGGCTGTCACTTAATAAAAGTTGTAGGATTTCATGTATGTCTTTATCTTGTGTTTTTGTAGATAATGCTAATGACAACAAAACCAAGAACAATACCACCTCAAATTCCTCAACTGAACTTTCACAGCAGTTATCGCAACCTCTCAACTCACCCCCCAAATCCACTTGTGTTCTTCCACTCCTTGAAGACCAGTTGAACTCTTCTCCCCCCAGCCCCCCTGTAGTCCTCTCTATAAAGGAAGAATTGATTGATATGAATATAATGCCAGACAAGCACATGAATTTCCCTGTACATGAGCCTGACCAGTTGGCAACAGATGTCCAAATGACTGATTTATCATAGTGTTGTTATAAAGTCATGTAGTGGTCCAAATTTGTGAAGTGGTGGACAGTATTGCTGTGGCTGTTTTTACATTCTGGACTCAAACCCTAGAAAATGTGAGGTTTATTCATTGGGCAGGTTTTAAATGATTCTAAAACTAGCCTTGTTAAAATAAGGTTTTTCCAAGTTACTTCAGTTTGTGCAAATGCAAAGAAATACAATTCCTACTTTGATAATGTACTTTTTCATAATGTTCTTGAGACAGAGGAAGGACAAATTGCAGAGTTATGGTGTGTACAATCTTTTAGACTTTCTTTCTGTCATTACCATTAAACGGTACCATTAAAATACTTTTTATACTGTACATTTTAAGCTTCATTGTGTTTTGTGTTAGCTGTGTACATAATTATTTTTCTTGACTTGGCCAGTGGATGTATTCTGGGTGAAATTTGCATTTCCTGCTACTCAGAATATTGCCTTTCTTGTCACAATACTAACATTTCTTAATCAATTTCGATACTAACGAACAGATTCAATACCCGATACTGATCCGAGTTAACCACAATGATATATACAGTTGTGGACAAAATTGTTGGTTCCTCTTTATATAATGAAAGAAAAATCAACAATGGTCACTGAAATAACTTGACACTGAGAAAAGCAATAATAAATAAAATTATCCTGACAAATAACCAGTGAAAATCAGACACTGTTTTTGAATTGTTGTTCAACAGAATTATAAAAAAAATAAATAAATAAAACTAATGAAACTGGCCTGGACAAAAATGATGATACCCCTAGAAAAGATTGTAAATACTTGGACAATAGGGACATTTTAAACTTAGGTGTGTCCTCTAATTGGCTTCACAGGTGTCTTCAAACTTGTCCTATAGACAGTCTGCCTGTTTAAAGGGCGGCATGTTGTCATTGTGCTGTTTGGTGACATGATGGACACAACACTGAACATGGACCAGAGAAAGTGAAGAAGAGAACTGTGTCAGGAGACAAGACAGAAAATGATAGACAAGCAGGTTAAAGATAAAGGCCATAAGACCATCTCCAAGCAGTTTGATAATCATGTGATTACAGTTGCACATGTTATTCAGAAGTTTAATGTTTACAGGACTGTAGCCAACCTCCCTGGAAGCAGCTGCAAGAGGAAAATTGATGACAAATACAAGAGATGGATCATACGAATGGTAACCAAAGAGTCTAGAACAACCTCCAAACTAATTAAAAGTGAACTCGAAGGGCAAAGTACATCAGTGTCAGATCACACCATCCATCACTGTTTATGCCAAAGTGGACTTCATGTGAGGACACCACTGTTGAAAGTAAATCATAAAAAAGTGAGACTGGAATTTGCCACAATGCATATTGACAAGCCACAAAGCTTCTGGGAGGATGTCCTTTGGACAGATGAGACAAAACTAGAGCCTTTTGGCAGGGCACATCAGCTCTTATGTTTGCAGACGCAAAAATTAAGCACATCCAGAAAAGAACACTGTCCCTACTGTGAAACATGGAGGAGGCTTGGTTTTGTTCTGGGGCTGTTTTGCTGCATCTAGCTCAGGGTGTCTTGAATCTGTGCAAGATAGAAAGGAATCTCAAAACTATCAAGGTATTTTGGAACGAAATGTGTTACCTAGTGTTAGAAAGCTTGTTCTCAGTCGGGTCATAGGTCTTCCAATAGGATAATGACCCAAAACACACACCTAAAAACACCCAAGAATGGCTAAGAACAAAACATTGGGCTGTTCTGGAGTGTTCTTCTGTGAGCCCAGATCTCAATTTTATTGAACATCTGTGAAAGGAGCTGAAATATGCTGTCTGGAGAAGGCACTCTTCAAACCTAAGGCAACTAGAGCAGTTTGCTCATGAGAAATGGGTCAAAATACCAGGTGATCAGTGCAGAAGTCTCATTGACAGAGACTGAAATTGTTTGTTTGCCGAGTTTGCATCAAAAGGTTGTGTAACAAAATATCAAGTTAAGGGTACCATAATTTTTGCCCAGACCAGTTTCATTATTTAGTTTTTTCTAATAATTCTGTTGAACCACAGGTGAAAAGCAATGTTTGATGTTTGTTGGACAATTTTCAATACATTTTTATTTATTATTGCTTTTCTCAGTTTCATGTTATTTCAGCGATGATTGCTGATTTTTCTTTCATTGCCAGAGGGGTACCAACTATTTTGTCCATGACTGTATATATAAAGAAAAACTTTATTTGGACAATATAATGTTATTTTCAACATCAAAACATATTTCTTTTTATATTATCATGTGGCCTCATATCTGTGTAATTCCTCAGTGTCCAGGTATGTTCTATAATGGTCTGTGGTTATATACTACTGTATGTGGCCTTATATTTGTTCTGGTACAGCTCAAGATCATTTAAATCTATTTGAGAAAGGCTAATTTCTGTCCTGTGAGTGTGACTTTTTGAGTTGATACTTGCTCAAATTGTTATCTAGTAGTTCTGATATTAGTTTCAGTATAGAATTAGTATAATATTAGTGTCTAATTTTCAATACTTTTGACAACCCGGCTAAACAGAAAATATAATGTAGTGTTACTCCTTTAATTTCTGAAACAGTTTATCTACAAATCAAATCAAGATTTTTTTTTTTTTTTTTTCAATTTGTAGAAATGTGATCAACTATAGAAAGAGACTATTTACTTAGCACATACAATAATCTCAATCACAAATCACATTTATACTAAACTCTCAGTACAGGTAATACTTGCCTTCATGCATCATATCCACAGACACTAGGAGGCAGTGTGATACCACAAAATGACAACATCTAGTAATGTTGTTTTGAAACTACTATGAAATGAAAAATCACCCGCCCCACTGCGTTTTGACCTAAAAAATCTTCATGGTTTACATACCTGCTTATTTATAGATTAACGTTTGACCTCACTGACCCTTACTGTTGTCTTGGATACAAGTCTCAAAAATGTTAATTGGTAAGTCTTTTTTTTTTTTTTTTTTATCTTGAATTGCCTTGTATGTAGAAATGTTCTTTTTAATTTTTTAACTGTTGAGACATAAAAAATTTTTTCCTCTCTTTTATTGCATGGGTTTTGCTTTGGAAAAATGAAATCCTCATTATATATTGCACTATATAGTATCAAGTGCACATACTATCAGTGTGACAGATTTGCAACATATGTAATTTTTCGGCTGAGTGCTTGGATAATAAGTGCTTATGGAATTGTGCGTCCATATGGCATTTATTGTCAGATTGTATTTGATCCAAATGAGTTTTGCTAACTTAGGAGGAAATACACCAGATGTTGACTATATATACAGAGTTCCACATAGTAAGATTTATTTACCCATAAAAGCAAACTGCAATAAAACTTGTAACCACTCCTCTAACTCTCTTCTCTCCTCTCTTTGTCTGAGCATCTTCAAAAACACACCACTGCCTTCAAATATGATGATGTAATCCACTGCCAGCCTGTTGTCCCCTGACCCGACCACAGATGGCAGTATTGCACCTTGGAAGGGGCCCTTAAACCCAGTCAACCCACTTCCCCACAAACAGTAAGTGTGCTTGGTGAGTTCACTGACAGTCACTGGATCACTGCTGCTATTGATTCATTTGTCTATGCTGTTGTTTTTGTCCTCTTCTGAGCTAGGAAAGATTTGAGACAGAAAAACAAAACACAGAATATTGAATTGGGGGGCATATTGAATGAGAGGGTGTGACGTCAGTCTGCTTGTGTCTCACAAGGGTCCGAGTTAAACATCAGTCAATATCGTTGTCAATCAAGCAATCAATTAGTCAATGCAGTTTCATTTTTAGAGTGATTTTCCTTGTCACCTGATGAAGAAGCGATGCACAGTACTTGTTGAGGTGGATTCTATGTACAGATCACCCCTAGGTTTGAAGGGCCCAATGCAGAACTCACTTAAGAGCCACCCACGAGATGTTTAGGGGCCATTCGAAGAGCACTTAAGAGTGTAGATGCAAGCCGTATGCTACTATAACATTCACACTTGTATGCTCGCTGGTTGTTTTGACTGCCGTAGTGCATCGAGGAGGCACGCAGCGAGCACAAAAATTACAAGCCGGGTTTTTAGAGAGTGGAGTGAGGAGGAGAGAGAGAGGAGAGGGCGCGTTTACTACTCCAATCTGACTGGCTACTGCCTGGCACACCGCCTTTTCGCGTCGGGCACTTTCCAGCCAATCAGCGGCCTTCGTCATATTTTTGGGTTTATGAATGGAGTGAGAGAGAGGAGAGGAGTAGTAGTAGTAGCAGCAAGTAGTTTGGAATTCATCACAGGGAGCACAGTGAAAGGATATGTGCCGTGCTTGGTCTGAGGCCCTGAGATGTTTGCTATGCGATCAACAGATGACAGCACAAGAGCAAATTATAGAAACGCGTCTGCAAACATTTACCTGTCGCTTGTATCCAGGAGACATGGCTAAGCGCTGTTTATGCTTGTGCAGGCCCGAGCTGATAGATGGCCTCCAGAAAACAGTATTTACTGAAGAAAAACTGATAGCAAAATACATTACAGGACAGGGCTGTAATTGAAAGTTCAAGTCTGTAGGCTTTTAGCTGAGTTCTTTTCAGGTCAGAAAACAGGCATGATAGGAACATGATGTCAGTGTAAATGCTTGTTTGAACTATCTCCAAGGATGCAACTCTGCACTGCTGAACCTTAGAATTGGTCATCTTTTTGTAATTACTACTTCCCTTGTCTGGAATTAAGTTGTGTCTTTACTTTTCTTGGTGATGCATAACCTATGATTCCTAGTGATATTAAGAAGGATCTGGCAAAGAAGGAAAGATAAGTTTGAGATGCACTGATTCTCTGTGTGCTTGAAGAATCCATCACTGTGTAACTTTTGTAGTGAAGGGTTTGCCACTTGCCTATCCACGAGTCTCCATGGAGTTGTTGTTGCTTTGCGTGGAATGTTCTACAATATGGCATTAAACTTGTCGATCTTGCACTTTTTCAATGACAGGTGTTTTTATGCGAACATGAATTTTTACTGTGTGCGCGGTCACCTCTCCACAGATCTGACCTGTAACTTGTCCCCTTGGTATTACCAGTGTGCCTCGACAGAGATAGAGAGAATACCATACCATTCCAGGTAAAAAAAAATCCCATCTCCAGGAAGACAAGCAGATGGCGGACCCTTCACGAGAAAACTTACGTAGTTCACCTTTAAGATACTGTCATTGTGTCACATGAATTAGCCAAAATGCGAAACAAAAATCTTAAGCATATACATTTCTGATATAAAGTTAAGTACAGTGCATACACAGTCAAATGTGTTTGCAACTTTTAGTCCTGGAACCACTATTGAACTGAGATGGCAAGGAATATTTGGGCTAGTCTGCAACTTATATTATTGAGCAAGCACTATGAATGATATTAAGCATTTTCACTATGATTTAGTGAAGTGCACATTTATCATATGTTTATGTGTTTATGTATGTTATGTAGGCAAATGCTTTTTCTCCAGGCACTGACACAAAGTGTAAGATGGATTACTAGCTGTAGCTTTTTTCTTTTTCACAATACTGTTTAAAAACAAATCTCAACATATGCACAAGTTCATTTCTTCTTGCATATTGTTTGTCTAATTTAGTTGCATAATTAAAAAGAACTTAATGAGCAGAGTGTAGGCTGCAAGAGGCTGGAGTGCACTTGAGGTCAGAGCTGGCATGACTAGGCTTATGACATCACTCTGTAACACTTAAAACCGTCTGAACTTTTTCTCCTGTAAGGTCACCGAACACATAAATGCAAACTTCTTTTCGCAGCCACATAAAGCTTTATTGATTAAAATTTAAGTGCAACCTTCAGACTGGCTTGAAAATGGAGCTCCCGATGAATTCGCTTTAGGGTAGAAAATGTAGATGGAACGCGGGCTGCAGTAAACTGTCCTAAGATAAACTCCCATAAGTGTTGGAAAAACTCGTTTGAGCAGTTCTGTGAAGCCTATATAGCAAATGTAACGCTGTCCTTAGATATCACTGGCTGGGATTAAGCACCACACACTATTCAGGTGTGGGTCGAGCGAGTTGAATGCGTGTGGAGGCAAGGCACATGTCAGTTGGTACACACGTCAACAAGGTCAGAGCTAGTCATTTAAGGTAACGTCCACATGACTGCTCCCATTCAAAGAAGGAGAACTGCAGGCTTAGAGTGCACCACCTCCCCGGTCACACACAATTCATCACTCGGCAACACTTTCCAACTCGTGACCTCGCAAAAAGCCACTGACCGCTACCAGGGGAGTCCAGAGAAAGCTATAGACAAGGCAAGAATGGAACTAAAGAAAAAAAAGTGATTTATTTATATCTGTTGTTGTCAGAGGTGGAAAGATTTCTGACATTTTGTACTTGAGTAAAAGTATACTTACATGTAGGGATGGTCTGATAGAGCTTTTTTTGAACCCATATTGATATCTGATATGTAGTTTGTTACTGTGACAATCTCTGGAACTCAATTGTGGCCGCCCATGTAAGTGAATGGGCAGAGCTCAGGGGTGTGTGGCATGAGCGTCAGCAGTGGAGTACATCTAGTGACTGTGCATCTCGCCGACATGTGCAGTACTATTCTTCTCCCACGTGAGCGCAAGGAACGTGGTCTACCCATGCAAGAGTAGCTAAGGCAGAGTAGAGCAAACTAAAGCTGGGGCTATTTTTAAGACAACTGAAGGATTTTTAACTGAAAGTGTGTGAGGTGAAAATTTGTGTTTGTGTTTACATTGCTCTCCATGGGAATACTTTCTGCAGTATCAACGAACACTAGTCCAAACTCGCAACAGGTCTACGTTAGCCATGCTCTATCCAGATTTTATGATAGATCTATGTGATGTGGCTATTTGCCAATACCAATTTTGATTACTATTTTTAGCTCTTGTTCTGTTCAAAAAGACAAATTTGTTGCTCTGAGGACAATCTAGGAATGACACAGGGGCACACAGAGACGGGGGCAACAGAAGAAGTATTGGCGCCAAATATCAGCTGGTTTTCACCAGTGACTAGTACCCAGGTGTCAAACATAAGGCCCGGGGCCAGATCCGGCCCTTGGGTGATTTTCTGCTAAAATATTTTAATTATATTTTCTATTAAAATATTGGTAATTTTCTGCAGTGCTTATCACAGCAGCGTCTGTAGAGCCTCTGTACGTGGCCCCTCCCACCAGAGCAGCACAAATGAAGACTTGCCTCTTTCCAAACGCTCTTAAAGGACGATCGTTTTGACTGTTGACTGTGACACCCTCATCAGAAAAATGTAAAAAATGAGAAAAGTGGAGCCGAGTGCAGGATTTTCCAAGAAAAATTGACTTATTCCTATTTGCATACAAGTTCATGTTATAACTTTGTGTTGAAATTGAATTTTTCTTAAAGTTTCAGGTTGTTCATAATATTAAATATTATAATAAGAAAGAGTTCATCAATTAAAAAAAGATTTCTGTAATAGATTTGTGTTTCTCTGCACAAATATTTGCACTTATTGTTATTTTTGTAGTGCTGTCAAATGTGTACTAAAGTAAAAGAAAAAGTTCACATGAAAAATACTACTAGTACTAGTTACTTTTTTACACTTTTTTAGTTGCAAACACAGAGGTAAAACAGGGGATTGGGACAACTGGAATTTGTGCTGTAATCCTGTAATTTCAAAAGTAACTAATAATTATAATTGCTAGAATGATACTTACAAAGCACAATTATTTAAAAACAAAACAAAAACCCCGTAATGTTAGTATTTGTAATTGATTACTTTCTACCCCTGATCTTCAGTTTGTGCATTCACATGACAACTGGATTTTGGTGCTGTTAAGATTGTCTTTAATGGCTTGTTTTTCAGAACTTGATAAATGAGATTGGAATTACAAGGTTTGTTTTGAAAGCAGATTGTCTCGGAATGCAGTTTTAAAAATGTTGGAATTTAAAAATATGAAGTTTTATCTATGCTCAAGATGGCATTGGTGTGAACCTACAGATTTATAGTTTAAAAAGCAACTGAAAGATGAAAGATAAAGCAGTGATGAGTCCAACATTGCTAAGTTAAACAATTTCTATATGTTTTGTGGTTGATGTAATTACACTAAATGACCCACAGAATGAAATGTTCTTATCACCATAGAGGAATAAATGGCACATGCACAGCAAGTCTACTAATAAGTAATAACACGAAAATTGGAAGGCTTGCTGTTTAAATGTTAAGTTAAAATAATTATCACAGAAGCTATTAATCAGTCGATCTCCCTGTGGCAGACAATTAAAGCATTCCTGAGTAAAAATGTCACCCAATATAAATATGCACAGACCTATTAGAATCTGACAAGTTATCTCAAGTGGCTTGTCAAAGTCAAATGCCTAGTGTTGTTTAGCTATAATCAGCGGTGCCTCTTGACTGAAGAGTTTTTTGTCACTTCTCTGCTATAGGTTCAAGTTTTCTCTCTGTCTAAACTAAAGCATTCTTTACATTCTCTTCTAATTATCTGATATTTTATAAATTAACTGCACATCTCAGTGTAACATAAACCCTATTTTTTGATCATTTAAAAAAAAA